AAGAAAGCAAGGTAGCAATAAGTCATTTGATAATCGTAATGTTGCAGCAATGGATAGATTGTACATACCTTAGAATGCCTTGGCAGATAAGGTTGCAACATTTTAAGAAGGATAGAATTAAAGGCACTCTATCTGAATGCACATAACATTCACATCAAGCCAGGTGAATTGACAGCAGAAGTAGAAGTAAAACAGGTATGATCTAATTGCCATTGATACAGTTGTAGGGTGACCAAGGCTGGGATCTGAATACTCAAGGAGATTTAACATCTAGGAAGGATAGGCAAAAAAGTAAAGGAGATGGGGTAGTACTGTTCAAAAAGGATGTGATCTGTACATTCATGAGAGAGAATCTTAGATTGGAAGATCAAGCTCTACAATCAGTTTGCTGGAGCTAGGGAACAGCAAGGGTCAGTAATATTGGTAGGAGTTGTTTATAGGCCAAAATGTAGGGCATGACATAAATCAGGAAATTAGTGGTGCATTTAACATGGCTAATACAGTAATTATGGGGGAATTCAACCTACATATAGTACTGCAGACATGCTCCAAAGCATGCTGTGCCTCAAGCCGAGCTGTTTCCAGTACAGGTATAACACTATCATCTACCCAGCCATGTGGAAAATTGACAGGTTTGTCCTATACACAAAGCAGGTCAAATCTGACCTACTCAATAACTGCCCCATCAGTCTATTCTCTGTTCTCAGTAAAGTTATGGAAGTTGCCATCAACAGTGCTATCAAACACAACTTACTTAGCAATAACATGGTCACTGATGATCAGTTCGGGTTCAGTCAGGGCTACTGAGCTTCTGGTTCAAGCATGGACAAAATAACTCAATTCTAGAGAGGAGGTGAGAGTGACTGCCTGTGACATCGCAGTCACATTTGATTTAGTGTGGCACCAAGAGCCCTAGCAAAACTGGAGTCAATGGGAATCAAGGAGTAAATGAGTTGGAGTTATACCTGGCACAAAAGAAGATGTTTGTAGTTGTTGGAGGTCAGTCATCTCTGCTCCAGAACCTCTCTGCAGGAATTCCTGTCTATAGTGTCTTTGTCCTAACCATATTAACTGCTTCATCAATGACACTACCTCTATCATAAGTTGACAAGTGGGCATGTTCAGCACCAACACAGACTCCTCAGATACTGAAGTAGTCCATGTCCAAATGCAGCAAGATGTGGAAATATCCAGGCTTGGACTAACAAATAGCAAGTAACATTTGTACAATTGCCAGGTAATGACCATCACTAACAAGGGAAAATCTAGCCATCACTCCTTGACATTCAATGTTATTACCATTGCTGAATTACTCACTATCAACATTCTGGGTCTACCATTGACTAGAAACTGAACGAGACTAACCGCATAAATACTGTGGCTACAAGAGCAGACCAGAGCCTAGGCATTCTGCAGTGAGTAATTCAACTCCTGATTCTCCAAAGCCTGTCCATCATCCACAAGGCACAAGTCAGGAGTTGTGATGGAACTCTCCCAAGTTGCCTGGATGAGTGCAGCTCCAACAAGAAGCTTGACACCATCCAGGACAAAGCAGCTCGCTTAATTGGCAACACATCCACAAATATTCACTCCCTCCACCACCAACGCTCAGCAGTAGCGGTGTGTACCATCTACAAAATGCACTGCAGAAATTTGCCAAAGATCCTTAGACAGCATCTTCCAATCCCATGATCACTATCATATAGAAAGACAAGGGCAGCTGATACATGGCAAGTCCACCACCCGCAAGTTCCCTTCCAAGCCACACACCATTCTGACTTGAAAATATGTTACTTTCCTTCAATGTTGCTGGATCAAAATCCTGGAACTCCAACCCAACCAGCACTGTGGATGTATGTATACCAAATGGATTTCAGCAGTTCAAGAAGGCATCTCACCATAAACTTCTCAAGGACTACTGGAGATGGACTATAAATGGTGACCCAGCCAATGAAGTCCACATCCCATGAATAAAAAATGCCTTCTTTCCAACTTTTTCACATTTAAACTGCAATGTGCCTACTGTGAACCCAAATAGCTGCAGACAGCTGGAAGGCCACCACCAGTCAGCTAAAATGTCTCCTGTCACCTCTATGAATTTATGAGGCTGACTGCAAAATGCTAGTTGGCCACTGATACCAGGCTTCAGAAAGCCCTTAAATTAGCTTACTAGGTTATCTAACTCTTACAGATGAGTAGCCCAGCTAAGTCCTCACTCCCTCTACCTCCCTATCGTCACTTCCTACCTTCTAAAAAAATGGCCAGGATGGGATGGAGGCAGGCAACTGGTACACAGGCCAGTTTGTAGTTCCATGCCCGCCTGCCTTCATTCCTGCCCTTAACAGTGTTGAAGAGTTTCTCACCGGACAGATGCTACTAGAACTGCTGAGTATTTCCAGCATTTTCTGTATTCCTTATTACATTTATGTGAATTTCTCATTGCAACTGAATTTTATGGAATTTATTGTCATACAAGTTACTTATTTAAGATTAAGATTATGATGTTGATATTTAACTGACAATAAGTACCTAGTATACATTATTTTGGCAAATATTTTCAATGTAGTGCAAAAATGCTGTTGGCAAGTGAAATCCCATTGTTTGTTGAAAATACTTCAAGTTTAGTACATTCTTTTCTGAAGTGACTGCAATTTCTAATGCTCAAAAAAAGCTTTGGGAACCAAGAGGGAAAAGGTGTACAGGGTAGGAAAGAGAGAGGAAAGAAAGAGGAATGAGACAAAAAATGGAATGAGGTAAAGAGAAGTAAAGAGGCAAGGAGGTTAGGGGAGGTTGAAAAGAGAATATGGAGGGCAAATAGTGGTCATGGGACTGTCAAATGAGATGGGCATGTAAGACATTGAACAGGGAGTATGGGAAAGGAGAGAGTGGAAGAAGAACAAACATAAGGATTAGTGGAGGGAAGACAAACTTGAAGAGAGATTGATGAGGTTAAGCAGGCATTTTTTCAACTTCTTCCTGATAACTTGCAGATAGATTTGGAACTCCCAGGTTCTCACCTCACTTGGTCTCATAGACATTTTTTTCACTACAGTGTGGAAACAGGCCACTCACCCCAACAAATCCGCACCAACTATCTAAACAGCATCCCATCCAGATTCGCCACCCCACCCTACCCTATAACCCAGTATTCCACCATGGCTAATCCACCTAATTTTACACATCCCTGGGCACTATGGGCAATTTAGTATGGCCTTAATCTGCACATGTTCAGACTGTGGAAGGAAATCCACAGACACAGGGAGAACGTGCAAACCCCACACAGACGGTCACCCAAGGCTAGTATATGAACCCAGGTTCCTGGTACTCTGAGGTAGCAGTACTAACCACTGAGCCACCGTACCGCTCCAAATCTGCAGCAATTTAGTTCTTACATAACTTTCCATGCCTTCCCAAATCCCAGCACTGTCTGGTCTAAAACATAACCTCCTAGACCCTCAACCTCCAAAACCAAGTCTGAATTTTGCAGACCTTAAAAAGCATCTTTACTTGCTCTAAGGCTGAACAATTATCTCTTACTGTTTGTGGTAAATTACTTGGTTACAACACACTAGGAGACCTGGTAATATATAAAATAAAAGTGTTTTCTCTGGCTGAGCTCAGTAAAAATCGTAGTCGCCTTGCCGTCTGAATTCGGTTTCTCTCTCCGCAGATGCTGTCAGATCTGCTGACCACGATCTGGTCTTCTTTCTTCTGGCTGACCTGAGCAACACTGCGGGACAGCTGCTTCATATTTCAAAGCACCTAAACTTAATTTATTTTCGCTTCTTCTACAAAAACGCCGTATGTGTATCGTTTTGTTTGTTTTTTTTTCTTTACATACTTTTGTTTTAAGTGTTGAGCGGTGCAAACTCAAAAACAGAAATTGCTGACGAAACTCAGCAGGTCCGGCATGATCTGTGAGGAGGAAGCAGTGTTAACGATTCGAGTTCGGTGACTCTTGCTTCTGAGTTTCGCCGGCAATTTCTGTTTTTGGTTGAGATCTCCAGCATCCACAGTTCTTTGTTTTATTTGAGCACAACATGCATTGATTTTCCGAGGCTGCTGATTTAACACGTAGTCCAGCACGGATGCAGAACCATCTCCAGTTTATGACCATCTGTATTCATCGTCATAGTCTAGCTCTCTCATAGATAAACTCACTAAGACATTTAAACTGAGTTTAATCATATTTAATGCCAGAAACAAAAACATGTGAAATGTTTTGGAATTGTTCGTTTTCTTTCATTGCTGACGGCGAGTTCTCGTTTTTCTTAAACCTATATAGATGGAAATGGATAATTCGTGGAGCTTCTTGGAATTCATATCACATTAAAACCTTTTAAAGAAAGAAATAACAATTTTATCTAAAACGCATTCCATCAGAATTTTATTTTACGCGTGCCTATTTATTTGAGCGTGAAAAATCACGAACTCTTCACAATGTTGTTGCAATTTCTCAACCAGAACATCTTAGAAAGGATTTTTGACGGCGACATTTCAATGCAAAGATGTGATTTTCCGCTGCCCAGCCCTCCCGCTCCTTTGATTTAATTGCAGTAATCTCTCTTTCATTAACATGGGTAAAGATACCGTCCCCATCTCCTTACTCAACACCGTCTCCTCGTTCCCACATGTTCTGCACACACTACCTGAACGCGCAGCCATGTACAAAGGATACTTGATGCTCTAGTATTAAAAAAAAGTAGCGCCGCAGCCCAGGTCAAATGGTTATGTTGTTCTAAGGCAGAGCACCGCTCTCTGCTGCAAAAGAAATCCCCAGGAAGGCTAGCTCCAAGCCCCGGTTAAGAAGATGCATGAGAGACTGAGCGGGGGAAAATATCTTTTTACACACCCGGGAGGGGGCAAATGGGGAGGAACAATGAACTAAAAAGGCTCTTTTCTTTCACAGCGAGCTTGCCGTAAAGAAAATAGTACGCCGGGAGAGAAACAGGGCAAAGAAAAAGGGAGGGTGTTAGTGGCGGAGGGAGAGGAGGCGTGTGCTTGCGCCGACGGTGAGCGGAGATAGAGAGGAGCGCGGCCACGGAACCATGGCTGGCGAGCGAGATACTTTGTAGCGCTGCCTAAAGTCAGAGGAATTGTAACTATGTGTTTCAATGTGGCGCCACGTTGAGCTCTCTTTGACTGCTTAGACGGGGGGGAAAAATGGGTACCGCGCTGAGGAATTTGCTGTTGTGCAGCGTTTGCTCTTTGATAAGGGGTGAGTAAAAGTTAAAAGATTGGTTGGCCCTCTCTCTCGGTTTTATTAAAAAAAAGGAGGCTGAGTGAGAATGGTCTTGCATGTTACTGTGAGGGGCCCGCGAGGGGGCTGGTGGTGTGTGTGTGTGTGTGTTTCGGGGGGGGGCCGCCTACGGGGACAGAAGGGAAAGGGGGGGGGGGGCTTTCTTTGCTCCGGGTTTACATGCATTGCCATTTATATTGGAAGGCGAATGGTTCAGCTATAAACTCTAATGTCGTTCAATGCTTTTAGCGTGTGGAGGGGTGTGTGTGTGTGTGTGTGAGAGAGAGAGAGAGAGCCGGCCGTGAGGTGGAATGAAAGCCGCGATTTCTCTCTCACTCAGGACTGCTGCCACTTTGTGCGGGGGAAATGCTTGGCAAAACACAGCGCGGGGTGCTCAAGGGGGAGGAACGGATCTGCTGGAACTTTTTCTGCAATGCTTTTAAGCATCTGCTTACCATCTTTTGGTTATTTATGGAGCACTAAAAGCCGATCGAAGTGTTTCCGAACAAACAGACGGACGAATCCGATCTTTCCACTCGAAATCTTAATTCATTTGTAAGAGCAGTTTACTTTTTTTAGGAAGAGACTGCTTGTAAGGGCAAATAAAAGAATTTCCACTGGGCATCCAGGTTGCTTTAAATATGTTTTACAACTTTTCTTGAGAAATATTCCTTTTAACGTATTCGATTTTATTCATAATTTAAGTTAGCTGATCAGAGTTTTTTTTTAATCATATTCTGTCCAGGGCTACAGAATCAGATTTCAAACTTAATTATTTTATTAAACAATAACTGACTCTTTTTTACAGCCCTGTATTCGTTGAAATAACGAACACCTATTAGTTCTAGGCAAATGCAACAGGTAGTCCTGTAAAACGTACGTGAATTAAGTCACTGTCGACAAAAGCAGGAAGGTATCTTTCAGGGGGGTGACAAATCGTTCACGGGTAATTCGAGTGCAGCCTTGTATCTGGTTACTACATATACCACAGACAAATTACTTTATTAAAAGCGCAATTCCAAATTTCACATATTCACATTCTGGATTGCAACTTTGAGGATTCCTGACAGGTAGGTACTAGTAAATTTGCAATTAGATTAATATAACTAATCTTCTTGGAAGGTGAAAGAACTTGCACTTTTTTTTAGAAAAAGGTAATTTTTAAACACATGTTGCCTACATGATAGATTAAGTAAAAGAAGCTTTAAATATTTTGCCACAAATAAAGACAGAAATTGTTGGAAAATCTCAGCAGGACTGGCAGCATCTGTGGAGAGAAATCAGTTAACCTTTCAGGTCTAGACACCCTTCCTCACAGCCTTCTGTTTTTCTTTCTGATTTCCAGCGTCTGCAGGTTTGTTTTTTTTTTGGAATATTTTGTATAAGCTTCAAAACAAGTTCAATACAGTACATGTAATCCTAAGAGAAACTGCTAAGTGTTGAATATGAAATAGTGTACAAGTTTATGTGCCTGGTCATAATTGCAGGCATATTAATAATAACATGTTTAGAACCCAAATGGTTAATTGGTAAAATTCCCCTCACCTTTACCCATGTGATTTGTTTTACATGTAAGTTGTTAATGCACTGAATCACCTGATTATCTCAAAATTGACTCCATTTTTTTTGTGGGGTGGGGTGGTGGGGGTCATATTTGTATAAAAATTGAGTTATTTTTCTCATTATAGTGCAGTACCTTTATTTAGATGGAATGGGGAGTCTGGTGAAGGACTTGACTTTATTGCCTTTTGTATTGATTCCAAACATTCTGGGATGTCAATTTGAAATGTACAATATCTTTGACATCTCAAAGAGCTTATTTCCATGAAGATTACTGTTGAAGTAATTTAGCTTTAGTTGGTATGTCACAATAAAGGTATTGGGCAGTCTGTGGTTACATTGCAGCAATTTAATTGAATGCTCACACCAGGTATCCATGATGTTTCTAATTCTGTTTATCCAGAGTAGTAATGTAATCTTAAGCGTACAGCCATTCTGGAATTGTAATTTTGTATTTTATAGTCATAATCCTGTAATGTTGCAATGAAAATGCAATGTTTGCCACTTTGGAATATGTTAAATCTGAAAATTTATTTTCATTAATGTCTAATTTAAAAAAAAAATTAGACCAGTTACTGAATTCACATTATTGTTTGTTGCTTGCTGACAGCTGTTGTCTTCAAATGCAATAGTTTGATTATAATATATGCACGTAAGGTTAAAAATGATACATTCATGAAAGTTTCTAAGGAATGCATTTTGGTCACTTTTGATACCACATAAATCTTCATAATTGCACTGTATTCAACTTTGTGTCAAAATTAAATTTCACTGTTTTCTACTTTTCAATAACAATTCATTCAAGATTCTCTACAGCGCTGAAACATTGAAAACAACAAGACTGTTTCAATTCAACTGAATTAAATGGGGGTGGGGGGGAATAGGGTGGGGAATTTAAAGCCTGAAGCACTGTTTAGATTAATTATGTCATAGTTCCAGTTAATGGAACTGATGTATTTCTCAATCAAATACATCCTTTGTATTCAGATATTTTCTAACACTTTGGAATATCATATTTAGAACCATGTAGGTCAATTTTCAAGCTACTACCTGTACAACTGTACTGAGAAAGTTTGGAAATCTCTGACCAGTCTTTATTTTGGGCAAGAATTTCCAGTTTGCACTTGTGCAGTGGCATCAGCACTCATGTACCAATCGCTGAAGTCATTTTGACAGTTTTACAGTTTTGTAAGATATAACTTGCAGTTTAAAAAGAAGCATGCGCAACAAGAATGTAAGTGCTAAATTTCTTTATTACAGGATGTATGTGATTATGAAATTAATCGTTTGTTGAAGTAACTTTTTTGTTTCACCTTTATTTTGCAAATCATATGCTTTCTTTTGCATCAGTAATGCTTAACTGACAATGTCTCTTATTTCTTTTATGTATACAGGGGCACCACTTTTGTTGTTTGCAAATCGACGAGATTTGAGGTTGGTGGATGCTGCTGGTGGCAAGACTAATGCCACAGTTGTTGTTGCTGGTTTAGAAGATGCAGCTGCGGTGGATTTTATATTTGCAGATGATCTTGTATACTGGACTGATGTGAGTGAAGAAGCAATCAAACTGATTTTTCTAAACCAGACGGGAAACTCCCAGAATGTAGTTATATCAGGACTTGTATCACCAGATGGCCTGGCTTGTGATTGGCTGGGAAAAAAGTTGTATTGGACAGACTCTGAAACTAATCGGATAGAAGTTGCTAATTTAGATGGATCAATGCGAAAGGTATTATTTTGGCAAGATCTGGACCAACCCCGGGCAATCACATTGGATCCAGCAAGGGGGTGAGTGTAATGTACTTTAATGCTTTACCTACAAAGTTATCGATTTGGAGTTAGTGAATTTTATTTTGAAGCAGTTTGTGAAAAGGGACAGCTTGTCTGTGTTGCTGTTTCTGACTTTTCACTTTTTTAAAAGTAAAGTTGGTTTTTACTCTTTCTCAAAGATGTTCCTGGAATATTTCTCACTTTAGAATTTCATACAGCAACTCTAAAATGCTTTATTAATGCAGAGGGCAAAAGAAGTGTGTTTGGTAACTAAAAATGGCATTACTTTTAAAAAGAAATGTATGTACACGTACTGGATGAATTATGAGAAAATGTTATAAACTCTTTTTTTACTTTTTATTTGGAGCAAATCTCTCCAACTCTTGAAGTCAATAGTATTGTTACAATTGCAGCAGTTGGGAACTAAACTATGTATAACTTCAGGGTTAGGGTAGAGAAATTTTTGACAATAATGCAATTGATTAAGAGAATTGCTAGACTAATACAAGATGGCCTCCTTTAAACTCTTCTTCCCACCCCCAGCCCCCTCCAAAAAAAGGAGAAAACTACATGTAAAATCACAATTTTTTTCGTTCTTGGCAGGAAAGTGGTGCAGTATTCATTATGCAGAAAAATACAGTTGATTGTTCACCAAATTCCTGTCACACTGTGCAATCTGAGGAGTGTAGAAGGGTCTTGCAACATTTCGTATGTAGAGAGTCTAAAATTAAAAGTTGGATACTGCTAACTGTTTACTGATGCCAAACAAATAGACAGCAATGTAGCATTAATAAATCCTTGTCTGAGCCTCCCATTAGGTTTTGTAGCTGAACTGAAATCTACTTTGGAGGCAGGATATTTTTAACTCTTACTCAAAATAAAATGAAATGACTTTTTTTTAAAGTTGTGGAATTTTTTGCTGAACAGTTTAATGGGGGCAAAAAGGCCAATAAAGCACTAAATACTTTAATCTACATAAATCATTGTTTATTGCCCATGATTAGGTATTTTTCAATGTAGCTCAAAGAAACCAGATAACCATGGCATTTATATTAATGATTTCAAAAATCTGATTTCTCCTATTCACAGCATTTCTTTCATTGTAATCACTTTAATCAATTTGAATAGTTACTTGGCAGAGTTCGTTCTAAGCTGGTGGCTGTGCAGTAGTACATCAAGTGTCATGGATTTAAACATTACAGCCATCCGTTATTTGGTGTATAAATGAGGTTTACTGTCATGCTCTAGTCATCTGCAAAGAACTGGTAGACTCCTCCATGGCAGGCAAATAATGGTCAAGAACAATGATTAATCAAGTGGAATTGACATCTCAAATTTATTTGTGACAGTCCTGGGAGCCTGAGAGACGTCATCATATGAATTTCCTGTGGTTTGCCTGCTCCTTGACCACCCTGTTGCAGCCCCTGTCACTTGTTTACTTAGTCTTCCATCCCCTGTGATGTAGGGTTTAGGAGCAAACTAAGTATTTGGATGGGAAGCAGTGAGCTGGGAAGTTAAGGTGCGGTGGAAGCGGTGAGCAAGAGTTGAGTTGGAACAGACGTTAATTTAAGATCCGATCATTGTATTGCAGCGATTTTATAGAATTGTTTAAAGAAAGATCTCAAAGGCACTCAACAGATTAATAATGGAAAAGCATTTCTTGGAAATTTGTAAAAATCTTTGGATTCCTAGCTAGATCTCTGAATAATAGTGCAAAGATTCTTGCGTAGTTATCCCATTGGATATTTTAAACTGTGCTTTATTTCTAACAACTACTTTTCCCCATTTACCTTTCTGTGTATTGTGAGAGACAATTTATTTTAATGGTGAACTGGTGTATTAATTCACGTATCGTATTTTTCTAAGAAACCTCAACAGAACTTTAGGTCGGATGAATGTCATTACAACTTCACAATCTATCTCAGCTGTCAGTTTCCCTCCCCTGGATTCTATTCTCTATTTTACTTCAATACTCTCTCTCTTCCCTAGTTTCCAAGTGTAGTTACCTTCTTCAAAATTCACTTCATACACGGTGAAAATGTATCTTCAGACCTTCACCCTCCAGTTCACACCAGGCAACGTGTCTCCAAATTTACAGAGACGCTTTTTGTCTGCAGGAATGTTTGACATGAAAAAAAATTATTTAGACAATTTCCTTAGTCTTCAAAGTAAATAGAAAAGAACAGTCAATAAGTTGAAAAGATAAAACTTGCTTTTTTCATATTTTTGATCAATTCAGAAGACAAACCGTCACCTTTTCTGTATTGAGCTTGTCAACTTGAGACAAAAGATCCATGTCTGGTCTTAAGCCATTTTTCCTCTGTTGAATAACTAAAATACAATGTAAAAGCTAACAAATACCCTTCAGTCTAGTGGCTACCGGACTGAACTTGAAACCTAGGGGACACAAATGCAAATGTCACTGGGAAAACTTAAAATTGAATTCAGTGAATCTGTTAATTTATGGCCTATAATCATCCATCTCACCGGCCTTGGGAGTTGTATTCTTTCTTTCATACTTATGGTAACGTTTTATGAACATTTGAAATAGAAGGGCATTTTAGGGTTTTTATTGATGCTGGTGGGACATGTTTACATGCTACCTTGATATTGATGCATGTAACAAAATTAATTTTGTCCATAGACAGAAGAATTGGAGAAAACCTTGTTTCTTATTGAGCTTTATCCTGAATTGATTTTTCATTTTGGATGATATTTTTAAAAAAAACTGGCTAAAAGATTTTATATTAATTTGATTTGAAATTTTCTTAATTAATTTGAATTTTATTTTGAGATATGTGATTTACGTTGCTACTCTTCATTTATCTTCTAAGCCCTCTACTATGCAATCTGTAGAAATTGGTATGTAATTTTATGTCTTTATGAAAGTTTTTTTTTAAAGGTATCATTTTCATTACTTATCTTTTTTCTTATTTTGATTTGCTGTAACCTTTAAACAGCATGGATCATCTTTGCTTTGAAATGAGGATCTATGAGCAATTCAAAGTATCTAGGTTTGTGTTGCTTGCAGCTCCTTGACTGTCAGCTTTCACAGTGAGAAGTTGATATTTCAGTTAATGTGGACTCTCATTGCATTTGCTAACGATTGGTAATGGATGGTTGCTGCTACTCCAAAATAGAAGCAATAGCACTGGTGAGGCTGTTTCATTTGTTAGTCTTGTGGGTATGCACCCTGTTGATCAAATCAGTGCTTTAGCTTTTTTTCTCTCTATGTAAGGACAGAATGCTCAATTCAAAGTTTCTGGTTGGTAGCTCCCAAGTGTGTGTTTTTCTGTAGTGTTACAAAAACATGTTTTCAAAATGCAAACAATCCACAAAATTGGAAAGTTAACCATGATTTACCATTTTTAAAATTGTATTGGTAGCAAGAGTGTATAAAATAGTTCCTTGACTGTTAGACTTCTATGTAATATGTGATCCTAAATATTCCCTTGGGTTTGCTATTGGCTGTATTACTTCGAAGTAATATCACCTGAATGAGCTAATAAGCTTCCTGTTTAGAATTCAATTTCATGTACCACCTGTAGCAACTCATTATTTGAGAGATAATTTTAAGTTTAGGAAGACAAAAATCTGCAAATACATTACTGGCGCTGTGGAGGCAATACAGTCGTGTGTTCAAATCAGGCAATCAATAAATTTCTAGATATTAAAAACATCAAGTGCTATGGGGATTGTCCGGAAAAATCACATTGAGCTGAAAGATCACCCATGATCTAGTTGAATGGTGGAGCAGGCTCAAGGGGTGAAATGGCCTTCTAAATCCTTTGTTCCGACAAATAGTTTTGAAGTTCAAATGAATGTGGCATGAAAACATTGTATATTGCATTTGACTGAATTTCTGGTGATATCCCTTCCGCAGGAATTAATAATTGTTTAAAACTTCAATTTATAAATCCTGTATGTTAACTTTGTATACACACTTGTTGCACAGTCTACGTATAACAGTTAAAGGGACAGTATTTCCTGAAAGGAAATAGTCTGATTTATTTATTCAACCACAGATGTTGTTCAATCACCCTGTTGATCACAACACTTTGAATTTAAAAACAAAGTTCTTTTTCACTTGAGTTCTTACATTCATGAAGGACATTAAAGCCAAGTGCAATGTTCCACATTGTCTGCTTAAGATCCGCTGATTTAGCATAAAATGGGCATTGAGCCTGAGAACTCGAATTCTATCTCAGCCGTATTGAGATCAGCTTGTCATCTCTATCCTGTCTGACCCACTTTGGCTGCTTGTCCTCCAAACAGTAAATGTGAAATCTGCAGCTTTGTCTTCAAATCTCTTCCTATCTCCCTCCAGTTATTCCTTCCTGCTTTCTTTATTACTCTGAATCAGGCCTTTCAATCTCTCTATCATTGGTCATTGAACCTTGGGCTAGTATAAGTTATATTTCTTAATTCTGTGCTGAACCTCTTCACTCCTACCTCTACTTTAAAAGCTTTCTAAAATCAATATTTTTTTCAAACCAGTCTTTGGTTGCTTCTTTCTGACCTCTGCTAGATATCCTTCCCCTTTATCTCATTCTCTGTTTCTGCTATATAGCACTGAGTTTTTGTCTGTACATAAGGGATTAGATAAATGCAAGTTCTTTCTGATCTGGATCTGTTTAGAAGTTCAGTGTACACATGCTGAACAAAACTGTTGAGACAATGAAAGAAAAATACACATGCACGCTCCACATAACTGAAGAAACAAGTAGAAAAGCATCTTATTTACACAGCTGTTGGAACAGTTAGCAACTTGCTCATGAGCATGTGTGCGCACAGTGAGGTAAGCATGCAGGACATCTGAATGCATTCAGTGGTCACTGGAATCTGTCTTGCTGCCATTATTGGTGATCCAAAAGCATATCCTACCTATTTAGTCAATGCTTACTTTAAACTTTGATCAGTTATCACTTCTTTGAGTTTTGCCTTTAAGTAGTTTTGTTTTTAAAAGTGTTTTAGTCTTTTTTTTTTCCCCCTTACCTTGTACATGGTGATATACTGCT